TACTTTAAACTGGACTTACACTATTATACACAGTTCCATAGCTCTGCATTAACAACAGTTCGTTTTTCATGTCAAAGAATAAACAAATATGGACTTTATGGGTATAATAACTTTGCTAATTAAAATTAGCAAAAATTGGACTTAATTGTTTTTCGTTGTACTCCCACGAAATAAACATCATCCTTCAATTTTGCTCCGTTTACATGGTAATAAGTATTTATGCTTTAAGCTTAACGTTTTTCCGAATATAAACAGGCTCTTATAATTACACAACTTTTTCTTGTAAAATTTACCTTCATTAAAAAAAATTAAAAAGAAATACAAGTGCAGTTCTTCATGTCTAAATAGAAAAAATAGTCAACAATCAGTTATAATTAAAATAAAAATAAAAAATAAAAAAATATTTCACACTTTTCAAACTACAGGTTTAACAAATAATGAAATATGTGGCTATACCATGCATTAAACAAAATTGGAGGCAACATTTTCATTTTCAGTCTGTGTCCAAACGTCACTTAGTGGTTACATGAAACAATAATGTTAACCAGTTGTGACCATGCGCTATTTTATTCGTCTTGTAGTTTAGCTGCCTTTTCAATTATTAGAAAGATTATGTGACGGCGCTTAGACTTCGTCTGGTCGCCGAGGAGCCTATTTCAAAACGTACAAGTCCTCCGGGATTGCGCTGTGAATTATTAGCAGGCCCTCTTGAAGCGCACTGAGAAGCCTTCGACTCCGGTTGGTTTCTTGCAACTCTTTGCCTCCCAGTGGCGTTGGCGAAAAGCAGAATTATAGATTTCGTGGAGGCCACGAGAGAATCACAAACTTACTCCCTTTTCCTCTATAAAAAAAGTTTGAGTATGCATATGGAGTGGCCATCTAAGCAGCCACTTTATGGAAAGGCCAAATTTATAGGAATAAGAGTTGGGAAAGTTTTTATTAAAGTTGAGAGATGTTGATGGCGATACGATTTTAATGGAGCGAGTTGGACGTTGTCTCTATATTTTCTCAAGTCGGGCAAACTGGCGAATCTGATCGAAACTTGTTATACATATTCGATTTGTGGTGTGTGACTTCAAGTGTGAAGACGGATAGCATCGGTGTAATGGCGCCGGGATTGGACCGGAGAAAGTTTTCTCTGCTTTTTCGAGGATGTAATTTGCGAAATCAGACCTAAGAATTCAGACCCAATGTGGAAGGCATTTACGAGTATCTAGCAACGATGTTTTCATAGACAAAGTGTCACAGCTAAGACTCTTAATTGATATCTCTTCCTATTTATTTACATTAAATAATGCACAATACAATTATTATGCATTTTTAATTGTTATTTACAGTAACTCAGTATTTTATTATTTTGTAATCTTTGTTGTATTTTCTAAAAATTCCATTCCATTTCCATATTTAAGATTTATAAAGTTGGCATTAAAATTTGTTTGCAATTAAATGTACTATTATAGGTATCTATGTATATACAGAGTGCGCCAGAACTCGCGCCCCAGAGAAAAATTTCAAGTAAGATAAGATACCTACTATAAAAATGAAAAAAATGTTTAAAAAATTCTATCTGTCAAAAAATTTTGATATTTATTTTTTGATATTTGACATTTTTTTATGTCTATTTAATGATACTGATGATCTTGTATATGTTTTTTTACAATTATTTAGTAAAGGTACAAACATTTTGCCAATAAAAGCCACAAATAACATTGAACAGAGTTACAAATTAGGCTACAGCTTCCTTGTTTCCTCTTTTAATAGCCTATAGCAAAAAAACTTGGAAAATTATTTTTCTAACAGAAATAAATAGAGTCAAAGTGCAAACTCTAAACCCTCATAACTTCGAAATTTTTATAGATAAAATTTTTTTAACATTTTTTCCATGTTCCTGGTATCTTACTTTATATGGCATTTTCCTCTGGGGCGCGAGTTCTGGCGCACCTGTGATTCACGAAGAATAATGAGCCTGACCAAATTTTCGATGCACTCAACATTACAGTTGTCGCAAAATAACATGCGAAGAGTAATGGTGGTTGCATTGAGAATTTAGAATTTGGTAGGCTCATTATTCCTCGTGAATCACCTTGTATACTCTTAGGGTCGGTTTATAGAAGCGTCATAAGGTTAATTGCAATCAAACGTCAGATTAACTGATCACGTGACCAAATTGAACCAACCAGGTGCTCAGGTTCACGAGTTAATCGTGTATTAACTTTTAACAACGAATTAATTTTTAATTAGCTTTCTATAACCGACCCATAGAACATTAAAATTCGAATGTTCAGAAACAAAATTTCAGTTTTGAAACTCAATATTATTGAAATTCTAAATATGCAATTCTAATTTCCTAATTCGTTTTGCGCCCCCATATATTTGCCATTCTGGTATCTATATCTACAGTCGCGGCCGTTGAAAACTAAGACAATTTGACAAATCCAAAATTTTGCATTGTAAAGAGGCCTGAAACTGAAAATTCTAAAATGTCATTCAAATAATTACGAGTCGGTGTCGTAGAATAGAAAACATTACTTCAAAACAATGAACTTCAAGTTTGTAGACAGAAATAACTAATATTTTATTGCAGCACCATCCGAATCCGAAAAATTGAAATTGACATTGTCATCCTAGAAGAAAACCTAATTTACACTTTACAAATTTTTAAAATAGCAAATAGTATACCAAAAGTGAATGTCTTAGTTTTTAAGGGCCGCGACTGTATAAGTCTGAGACCCAGTCCTTGAAACTTTTTTGTTCGTCTTTTTGCTTTATACATTGACGCGGCGATAACATCAAGTACGAGATAATACATGGCGGCTGAGTACTTGTGGCACTTGTATCTGGTGGATATAAAGAGTTAGTGCTCTAGCTACTCCGTCTTTATTATAGAGAAGCACTCGCTCTTAAGAATTCGATACTTGATTGTAGGATGTATTGTAGCGAAGATGTTAGACTCCTTATTGCAACGACCTCTCATCCAATACACTTTTAGGCTCCTCGTGAAGGAGTGGCTCGATGGCGTTTCCAAGAGGTGCTCTCCCCGGATGACATTTTGCATATAGTGGCAGTGTGGAAAATTGCTAACGGGCCCCCAAGCAGTGTTTTATGTGTCGCATAAAATGAATATCAAACTGAATTCTTGTTAGATAAACGGGAAATTTTGAGTGAAATATTTCCGCGACGGGTTTTTTCTTATTGCAAACGTGCACCTGCAACTCTGGAACGAGATAAACGCCACAAATATAACATGTCACATCAGGTATGTCACAAAAGAAATTCCGTGCATATTCTGCAGATGCGAAGATGGTGAATCCTCTTTCCTTCGAATAGAATGAAGTGCATTACAAGAGGAAAGCTTCATCTAAAATCGCGTTTAGACCAGGGAAATGTTACAAAAATTCCAGGTCTACTGGTTGACAGATTGAATCGTCCTTAAAACGACTCTCTGGGCCCTGCGTCGTGCTCTCGACCCCAATTTTAATAAAAATTTACCTCAGAGCGCCGCGTCTCTAAAGCAAAGTTTAAACATTCATCTGTCAAGGAGTTTAACCTCTGATAATTCCCCTTTTGCTCTAATTGGAACACATTAAGATAAACTGATGATTCTAGAAAGTAGCATGTAAGTGTGCAGTAAAGCTTCAGAAGGCACAAGTGTTTCGAGAATTGAACCGCGTCTCTGGGGCAACATTAGCTGATGAGTGGAACATATTATACATTTCACTCTTCTTCATTGTATAATCCCTTTATCTGTTTTCTGCCTCTTTCTGTTCTGATTGCTGAAAAGTACTTAACACTTTAATATGCTAAGTGCACAACAAAAAAGAAACATGACTTTAAGTGAGTCTCTGGAAAATTAAACTTGAATCGCACGCTCCTCTACAAACTTTGACAACGAAATGTTAATGAATTTATGTTCTTAACCCAAACAAGCCCGCAGAAGAAAATTAAAATGGTCTACATTAATAATTAGGGCGGCTTTTTATGGAAATATATGTTTTTTCTTGTTAGACCCAAACTCGTTTCTACTCTTTTATTTCAAAAGAACTTTTTAAATTCTCAACAATAAAATGACTTTGTTAGTTGAAGTACAAAAGAAATGAAATATTAGATTCAAATAAAAATCTTTCTTTCTGCGTGGATTTTATTATGTTTTAATTAATCTGCCACCTTCAATATCAGCTAATAACAGTAATAAGACCTGACTTACCTCATTTTTCTCAAGATATGGAAATGCAAAAGGTTTACAACTATAAATTTTTTACGCCATTTGGTTGGCAAATTTACAATTAATTAAGTTCGTAAACTCATTTACTGACATAATCACCTAGATCTAAATATGTAAGTTTGTCCTCGACGTATATTATTAGATACTTACTCATTTTAGGGTTTGTGTGTGCTGTGAAAGACGATAAATGTTCTTAAAGTTTCCTCAGTTTCATTAGAGGTAAAAAATCTTTGGTGCAAAATTTTTCACTTTCAATGTGTAGTGTAAAACTTCGTTAACGCACTTACTATTTAATTCAAATTCCCACTATTGTTGTAGAACATTACCTAAACCTTATATTCTGACTATTTTGTGTGGGTTGTTTTAATTGTTTCGTATTTAACTGGTAATTTTATAAAATATTATTAATAATAGATTTATGATAACAACTTTGAATAGTTAAATATTTCAAATCGTCGTAAATTTAATCATAATTGGACAATTTTCACTCCAATTTATAAAAATAGTTTTATGTTTAAATTTGTAAACAAGGGAAAAGTTACATCTCTCGTTATGATTGTAATATATCTAATCAAAGTTCCTGGGGCTTCCCTTTTAGCCCGAAAACGTTACTATACATAATACATGACATGAATAGGTGAAACTAAAAAGATGAAGACGACAACATCACAAGTTTCATCCAGAATTTAATTTGAGAGCAATCCATTTCCGTCAGCTCCAGCATAACACCGTGACAATTCTCCATACACTTAATAAAACAATATTGTTTCCTTTCCAGATACAATGCTTCTGATATGGGCAACTTTAATAGTCCACTTGGTTCGAATTTACGCTCTTCAGTCAAATAACTGCGACTTCAACTCCATGTGTACGTGCACTTCGGACCAGTATGACCCAAGCCTTAAAAATATTCACACCATCACATGCTTGTCGATCCCCTTTTATAAATTTCCAAGTAAGTAATGCGACGCTTATGTTATCAATTAAGTGTTTTAAGCATAATTTTAGAGATAATTGTAACAAGTGTTAGACAATTTTTAATACGCTGGCGAGGTGTCAAATATCACATTAATAACTTTCAACACGATGGTTCGTTCATAATCAAACACCCGTTATTTTTGTGATATATCGTCGCAGTTTCGATAAAATTACATTTATCAAGTGCTTGTTAGAAAATTTCAGAACTAATTTGTTAATGTGTAATATTTTATTCAATTCCTTGATTTGATTAATGCCTACTTTTTCACTCGAAAGCCAAAACTTCTAAAGCCAATTGACAATGGATAAGCAATAATTTTTCCGTTAAATAAATATGCAATTAGCTCGTGATATCAATGATCATCAGTTTATAGATTTTTATTAAATATTTTTCCGTTTGTCATTTTTGTTTTTTATAATGAACAGTAACATAAACAAATTATTCTAACATTTATTGATCATTTATTCCGCTTTGCTGGCTTCTTCTTCACGTAAGCCTTGACGTAGAAGTCGGTGAACAGGTAAATCATGAGACCACATGCTGGCAAGTATGATAATAATATCCACTTTGGGTAAGAACACTCAGGATTGAGAAGGGGTATCAGAAATGTAACAAATATTGTACAGTGTTGAGCCTAAAAATTCTAATTTTTTCAAATCATTCAGTTTAACTATTCTTACAATTTGTATCTGAGTTAGATGCTTTTTCCACCAAATACTCTTCTTATATGATGGATCTACCAAAGTTAGATAATAATATAAGTACATGACTGCATGGACGAATGAATTAATAAATCCTAGAAAGTATAACTGGCCTCCGGGAAAATAGTTACAAGTGATCCAAGATCCGATCACCATTATAACGTGGTGATATAAATGAAGAAATGTGATTTGGTTGAATTTTTTACGTAGTACAAAAAATACCTAAAATTGTATAGTAGAAATTGGTTTACTATGTTATGATGTGGTACAGTGTCAACGAGATCCATTGCTTTTAGGAGAAAATACATATAATGTGGAAAGATTAGTATATTTTCAGTAATTGGAGTACATAAAATGCTGGTGTAGTTCCACATTATAATACCCTACAAAATGGTGATCACCAAGTTTGGATTTTACAGTTTTTTAAATCTTACCCAAACAATTCCAATACAATTCAAAAATATTTGTATCAAATTATACTGTTTCATTATATTTGTAATATCCTTAGCAGGTGAGTTTTTCATCACCTTTGGACCGTGGTCAAATATATACCAAAAATATAAAGATAAGAGTGTGATAAGTGGTATCGGAGAACCCATAAATGGATAATACCTGGTCCGAGTATCTTAAAATTAATGTGATTAAGAGTTGAGAATAAATTAATTAAAATCTCACCTGACCATTGCACTAATTTGCTATAACCGGAAACCAGATGTTCAAGTATAGAAGTCATTTTTATGAATAAGAGTGTCTGAACGTAGTTTACTTCTAAAGTTAAATCCAGTTAATTAGTAAAACGGTGACTATTGTTTTTGAAAAAATGTGGATTTGCAATTCAAATTCCATTTGGTGTGGATGACACAGGAATATTTGACGACACTTTTCTCAATGAAAAAACACTGCTTTGTGTGAATGTCAATTCACTGTGATTTAGAGTGAACTTCAATTGTTGTGATTTATAAGAAAGAGATATAACTTCTAGATATTTTCAAAAACAAATGTCACTTCAATTGGGGAACATCTGCTTCATATTGTCGCAGTTCAAAACTAGCACAAACTGGATTCGTGGAGATTGTTTTATTGAAAAATAATAACGAGTCAACTTCAAATAACTTATTATTTATTTATGGAGTTTCACACATTTTCTATAAAGAGTGAATTTTAATTAACTTTCTTAGGATTTGAATAAGCTTTCATGTAAAAATTTGTGAAGAGATAAATCATTAATGCGGCTTGAGTTAGGAAAACACACAATAACGGTTTTGGGTACGAGCAATTTGTATTGAACAACGGCAAGGCGAAAGCTGTAAAAATAAAACAATGTTGAAGCTGTAACAAACACATTAGATCATTATTTTACAAAAAAGCTATTTATCTTACAATTTGAAGTTGCGTGATGTATTTCTTCAACACACTGTTTCTATACGTGGGATCCCACGAGGTTAGAAAATAATAAAAATACATCACAACATGAACAAAAAGGTTCGCTAAACCTAAAAAGTAGACTTGGCCACCAACAAAGAATTTACATGTGATCCAGGAAAATACTGCCATCATGATATGGTGATAAACGTGAAGGAACGTTATTTGACTCTGTTTCTTTCGAAGGACGAAAAATATCTAAATTTCGACATTTTAATAAACTGCTTATTTTTTATTGCACTTACTGTATCTAAAAGATCAAAAATTTTCAGAAGAGTGTAAGCGTATTGTAAATTTAAAATTGCAAGGGCGTCAGGGTGGTTCGATTTATCCATTGGAGAACAAAAAATGTTTAGTTTTGGTAGCTCTTGCAACGCCTAGAATAATTTGTTACATTGCTTTATAGCAAAAGAGAGTTAAATACCAATAAAAAAATAACTCCATTCAAGATGATTTGTACCCAATTGTACACCATAATTATTCTTTCAAGTTTCATTGGTTGTCTGCTTTTCATTAAGGCCGGTCCAATTTTAAATACAAAACTTGCGTAAAATGCCAGTATTAACATAACTGGCAAAGGAGAGTTCATTAGGAAGTAATTTTCGATTCGAGGATCTAGAATTTCATAATTAAATATTTTTGATTCATTTTTTTTTTAATTCTCCTACCTGCGTATTGAAACATGTCTGGAAAATTGATGTACTCCTGTTCTGCAATGTGATCCGTTTAGTTTTCGACTGAACATTTTGTTTTCAATTCGTTGAATTTTAATGTATGATGGATAAAATATGTATTGAGACGTCAGAGTACAATGGCATTATTTCCAAATAACTCATTGTCAATAAGAAGTTAAAACTGTGACACTTATACGCAAAATTTGCTGTCCTCGTTATAAATTTTGACAGAGTGTTTGCACAATCCTTAAATTCAAGCGTATAAACAATTTATGATATTTGTTTGATTTCGTATTATGCCAGAAATTCATTTCCCTTGTTGGGATTTAATAACTTAAATTATTTGAAGTGAAATTTCGAATTTGCTTCGCATTCCACTCAAAATTAAAGAGAAAAAATGTTAATTTAAATAATTTAAATGAGTTGGTAATGTAATACCGGATATAATATTAGCATTCATAATTCAAAATAAAAAAATAGAATATAGTTTTGAAAAGATTTGTACTGGAGATCTTTCAGTCATTGTTCTCTAAATACAGAATATGTGGATCCTTTCTAATTAAATTAATTAAATTAAAATTTTTATTAAGTAAAACATAAAAGAAATACGATGATTTTACAGGATAAAACTAGCTTTGTCTGAAATTACTTGGTATGTCTACCTACATATTATGTATACATACTATATTTGAACAAAAATAGGATTGCAAAATACCTAACGTTAAGTTATGGACGTTCAAGGCTTGTTATACTTCTCCTGTAGTCTTATTTGGGAACATTCAATTTTATACAGTTATTTTAAACGATGATCTTGATCCGGATGTTATATGATTCTTGAAGTCAACCACTTATCCTTTTTATCCGATTTCGGGTATATTTACTAAGGCATATACAGAAATAGTCTTTAGCAATTCTTTCGAATAGCGTTGAACAACAATTTTCCTATATGTTTCTAAATTTTAACTAGGTATATATTTTTTTATTTTTCGTGACTTGTAACAACAAATCACAAATGATGATTTAATTGTTTTCTTCTGGTTATTTAGCAAATGCAGTAATATTCATAACAAATAACAACCAAACGGAAATGGGACAAATGGCAAACATTAGTTTTCTATTGGTTTTAGCATACACAAACATCAACATGTTAAACAAACAAACTGTTGATGTGAACATTTAGGATTTGCTTTTGTGACAATTGCAGCGCTCGTATTTTGCTACGATTTTGTGGACATCACATTTTTTCCTATTACGATATACGATAATAATAAAAGTATGCAAAATACTAGTGGTCGACCACACAGAACATAATCATCATGCAACACCAAAATTTTAATCTATTAGGAAAACATATTGAGTGTCAGAAAGCAGAAAATTTTACACGGCAAATTTAGATATTTTGACCATTTTTCTTAAATTTACCTTACATGTATAATTCCGGTTAAAAAACAAATTTGTTTAAAAAGTCGCGAAGGTAACTGACAAGTATATATTAATGTAACACTTAAAACTCGTGGCGTATTTAATAAGCTCGACTTTGATTTACCTTCGAATAAAAATAAACAATAAAATGATTTTTAAAAAAGCCATTTTTTTCTAAGACAAATTCACTTGCACTTGCTTACTGGAAATCGAAATGCAATTTCTTTATACATTTCAAATTTACAACTTCTAGTCCTTGACTTTAGTTGAGAAATAAAGTAAATTGAATTTTGTTTGACTAAAATCTCAACTTCTTTTTCAAATATCTACATTAACTTTCCCTCACATTTTTTATATACAGGGTGATTCAAAAGTGTCTCGAATGGTGATACAAGACTTTCAGCTAAGAATAAAAATGAATTGAGATTTTTTTTAAGCCTTTTTTGAGGAAAAAACAGAACTGTCAATTTCCATTTTATTATGTAGGCATCTTAGCTCTTTTGTTTCCAATGTTGTCTCATTTAATTTATTGTTAAATTTGCTAGTTTGTTAAATGTTTTGTGCACCATAAGACCCAAGTTGGTAATTTTTTTCAACAGCTCTATGTTCAATGTTGCAAGATATGCTATTTGCGCTAACTTAACTCAAGAAAACATGATCTGAATGGCCAAAAACTTAACCCAAAATTAAACTTTTGAAAAAAGGTCTCAACAATTTTTTATCATGGGAATTTTAACTCCTTTATCACCACCCAAGAGATGATCAGACACTTTTGAATCACACCCTGTAGGTATTTTTTTATATGTTTTAGTGGATTTAGTTTTTGGCCGCTACAATACTGGTTACCTACCTAGGAGAATTAATTTCTGATATAGGGATGTGAATATGTATTTTGTAGTTACGAAGTTTTACTCTTTTATTTTTCTTTGTTCGTAAATATAAATGGCCAAATTTAATGGCATCGGTCCATTTTGTTTTAGAACAAACGAGCAAATTCCGTGTCCACCTTGTTAACCTCCTTTGTGCCGTCCGCTGAGCCAAGCGTTTCACAAGAGGTGACCGCCACGCTGTGGATGCAATCACCGTCCGCATTTTGCAGCTTTAAATTTATTTCTTTATTACACAAAGCTTTTTTCTCTCGCAATTTGGCCCCAATCCGAGCAAAAAACTTTGGACGACTCGTAATTAACCCTCGAAACACATCACGGAACAGTTGAACCGTTGCTAAAACAATTGCTCAAATGAAGCAATAAACTGTGCACAACACAATCGTAAATGTAACGCGTTGAATCCTCGTGGTATGTTGCACAGAGGCACATAAGGTCACTTGATTGGGATTCGTCGGTTCGGCATGGCCGCAAACCGACCACGATGGCCATTACAAACACGAACATATGCACAACGCTTCTGTACAATCCCTCGTCGACTCGCTCCTTTACCACTAATCTACAGCAGGAAACGGACTGAAATAATGCCCTTTCATGATCAGCAAAACTCCCACATATCGTCACAAAGGGCACACGCCTGTTTTTACACGGGCTAATTGAATGCCTACACCAATCAGTTTAGCCACTGGCTCGAATTAAACGAAACGGACGGCAATTATGCAAGTTGGATTGAAACAAAGCTGCAGTGACTAGGTTTTGACGTCGTTTTGCTCTCTTTACATGGTTTATTTTATTCAAATTGATGCACCAGCTTTTTTCACTAAAATCATGTTTTATACAGGGTGTTCCGACTAAACACCACAAGTTCTGACAGTAATATTTACTCGGTATCAAAAAATTTTGTACGCAACCATACTGGGGTTATTTTCAAGATGTTGACACTTCCTGTTATACTTATTAGAAGTGGGTAACTTTACTATTTTAATTAGAAACCTATGTTTTTTATCGCGTTTTTAGATTACTCAAGTGATTTTGAGAGACTTTTTATCAGCTTTCCCTATACCTAAATTTGATTTCAAAATATTTAGATTTTTTGAAAATTTTTGGATTTGAACTTTCTTCTCCAAAAAATGATAGCTTTGCTGTTTTTAACTATTATGGAATCGTATTTGGGCATTTAAAAAAAAGTTTGATATTTCTGTGAAAAGACGTAATAAACTGATTATCTAATACAAAATAGAAATAAAAATATTATTTTTATAATTTCAAAAACTCTTTTTAGTCTTCTTAGTACTACAACCTCAATTTTTTTATTGTCTATAAAACTCTTGTTGTATTAATACCTTTTTGTTACTTATTTTGTCAAAAAAAAAACAAATTTTGACAAGTTATTACCATTCGCATATTTTTTGGCCCCTAGTTTCTTTATTATGAATCACGTCGTTCTCTCGTAATTAATGAATCTTGTATAAATCCTATAAACTTCTCAAGAATTCCTCCCCTAAAATATGTCAGGAAGGATCAACCTGTACTTCCCATCCGGTTTTCCTACGAAGAAATAAAAATGTATTAACGTTCTAAGCCAGTCCGTAAATCCGACAAGCTCTTTCTTGTACAGATGAGAATTAAGTGATCCCCGTTATCTACCACTTACATTAGTGTGGCGGCTTTTGTCAAATTATCACGAGGACCTTTCATTTCCTGACGCAATCATGGAAACGTTCGCCAATTGTTGTGATATCCTTTGAACTGTTTTCCAAACGAAATGTTCACGGTGTGACAGGTTTCAGGATGCTGTTTCCAAATGAATAGTTTTGATAATCGGTGGTAGATAATTTTACCAATTACTTCTTAATCAGTTAAACGATTTCCTGTATTTTTGAAAGAAAATGGTATTTTTTTAATTTGATTATCTAAAGACTATTTTTGCGGTAAAATATCCAGTTTAAGAAACCTTTTGAGGTGATTTACACTAAACGGGGATTAATTTTAATTGAGAGCAATTAACATTAAACATTAACGACATTTACTTTACACTTCATTCAATGCTATTGAAAGTTTTTGAAGGTGAGCCGTAGTATAATCGTAAAAATAGTTAATTTACTTATATGGTTTTCTAGACGTAAAATTTTGCGTTCAACACGATTCAACCGATTAAAATACTCTACGATGCAAAAAGTACTTAAAAATATGTAGTTCGACAACCTTTGTCTAGGATAAAACAGGGAGAGATGACGCACCTTTTGAAAAACGCGCCAAACATCTACTTTTTTTTAAACAGAACGTGGTTCTAACATAATAACAAACGCTTTAGGCATTAAACTTTTATTGCATAAATTCAACGGCCAAATAGTCTCAAACATTTTTCATAAAAAAATAAAAAAATAAAAATAAAATACAAAATTCTGAATTTGGCAATCTCTCCCGCACCCCATGGGTGAGACGACGCATTGGGTGAGGGAGAGATTGCTAATAGGGTTTCAACACAATCTCGTAAATTTTCGGCAATTGTCTTCTTCCCACAAGGCATACAGTAGTTTTTAGGTGTGTACGTAACATGAAGACACCTGTGGCAAAATCAGAGGCCGGCAATTCTTGAATGTGGTTACACAGCTTCCTTTCTGCATCTTCGCCCAAAAAGGGTGCTCCGCCTATACTCCTACATTTAATGAATTTTTCTTTTGCTAAGCGTGCACGTAGTGTCCTATCAGGGATATTGTAAGTACGTCATCTGTCCTGAAACGTTAAGCGTCATCTATCCCAAACCCATAGGATAGATGACACACCTGTTTAGGTTGCAAGAAATTCCGAGATTTGGCAATTGCTTTGTGAATGCAGCTTCTACTATAACCGAACTCTAAACTACATTCGTCAGAACGTCGCCTTTTAGCGAATTTCTAATAAACCGTAGATCAAGCTAAATATCTTGCAAACTTTTGTAGTACAACCAACGATATATCACCAAATATCTTGCAAGACTATTTATTGCACTTTTACCACGATTTTTCCTGAACGGCAAGGGTAGATCCTCTACACGTGCCTTACTTGGGCAACTAAGGCCACATGCACCGATTTAGCGAATTATCGGACTGCGTCGTCTCTCCCGCCGCGTCATCTCTCCCTGTTTTACCCTATACTTGAGATTCGATTTATAACATTACTTTTACATTTTATTTGACATTCATTTCCGTTGATTGTTTTACAAATACGTTAACTATGCACCTTTGTATTCTATTGGTTTCCTGTAGAAATGTAGACCAAAATCTTCAAAAGATTTTTTTTAAATTTAATCTTTACATTTATTCAAAATTAATTCATTTTAAAATTTATGACTGATCTCGTATTGAAATTTGTTTGCTTTAATTTGTTTTTCCACCATTTTTAATATTCTTATAAATTTTTCTTGTTTGTAAATACCTACTGCTGCTCCCATTTTTGTGATCACCCACATGTTTTATGTATTTAATCCCATGCCTCCAGCATACTCTAACTTATGTATTTATTCCTCTTTTTCCTTTTATACAGCACACAATTCTTGCAGTTCCTCCTACACTCATTTCAACAGACTCCAAGGAATCGTATTTTGGCCATGTTATTTTTGTATAATTTGTGCTTTACGACGGCATTCGCATTTTTTTAATAACGTTGTACTTTCCTACAAGAAGCACGTTTTTCCAGCATTTTATTAACCTGTTTTAATTAAAACATTGTTCATAAAAATGAAACGACCACACATATAAAACAAAAATTAAGAGAAAAATACATCTACTATTAATAATAAACAATCTTTTAGCATAATTACATTACAAGCATTTGCGAATATTCAGCATGAACTTGAAATTTCTGATATAAGAAAGTTGGAAAATTTTCATCTTGATGATGGTCAAAGTTGGAGACAAGTTCAAGGGCTGTTAGACCTCAACAGCTTTTCTCCACTTGTTAACTGACCAAAATCTGTCACGACTACACCGTAAAAAAATTCGTTCAGGACGAAAGGATATTATGACATGATGAAAAAGCGCAGTTGTGCCACATTAATTTATTTTTGTAGCTGCTGTTATGGTCGAGGGCAAACGCGACAGAACTGCGGATTATTACAAAATTTACTCTCCACCCAATTATGATATTAAAATGAAAATAAATAACTGAATACAAGAATAAAAATAATTTTATTTTGTGTTTTCCATCAAATTTTAGAGGAAATTTAAAGCGGTTCTTGTTACAGCTGTGTACTGGAAGTTCAGCTTTTCTTCACTTGTGTAATAAAATTTTTAGCGAAAATCGCTCTACTACATATATCCGGCAATAACAGAGCTCATAAAAATCGGATAGTAGGACAAACATCAAATATTTAATGGGCTATTTCGTCCTCGCATAAATCTAAATATTTATTAAACGATGATTTTAAATTTAACATTGCCTAAAGGGCAAACTCGAGAGTATAGAGAACACGCGTTTTTAGACAACTTCATAAATAACAATCGCACTTGTTATATTCCCATAAACCTTTTATTTTTTCATATTCTTAAATTGAATTTTTATAAAGCAATTTTAAATAACATTACTACAAATTGGCGTATGATTTTACTAACTAAATATTTGACGACTGTAAGCATAGGCTGTAACTACAAGTGTGTGGTCTTTCTGAAATTTTCTTAGATGCAACCAAAAACACTAATTTAGTAATTACACTTAGCACAACTGTCAAGACAAAGTTTACAATACTCAAAACAATGCAATCTTGGATTAGTTTTTTCCTTTTTTTAATTACAAGTCTAATAAAAGCTAGAACTTTTTTTTTTGGTTGCATCCAAGAAAATTTTAGAAATACACCACAACTGACTCACCCTGTATATTTTGTGGAAACTATAGTTTGTGAAACAAGTGCAATGATACCTACAAGTAAATGTTAATTGCAGTAGTCAATTTTTATAAACACATAATTGTAATGAAGGTAGACGCTGACAGTGCTCAAGAGATTTCATCTAACGAATGACAATAACTGTTTTAACATAGCAACGACTTTTCTATCGAAATTTTATTCAAAGTGGGTAAGATGGCCATACATCAAACAGGCCTCTTGTGTGTTTTTTGGGGAGTCGATCAAGCAAGCTGCGAGATTTATCTGTCCGCAAGGTGATAAATTTTCATTTATGGAAAGTAAAACAATTATAATTCGATATTAAGTTGGTGAAAAATGGTTTCCTTTATATTGCGACAGGCTCATAGATCAAAAAACCAACTCCGGGGATGGCCACGACGGGTCAGATAGAATTAATAGATCATATTATATGAAGATATCGTCGTACATTACGATCGGTAAAGCAAACACGTTTGCTTCAACCGGAAATATCGCAATAAATTTCGCATGAACATGTCTGTACCCGAGCATCGGCCAAATTGGAAAATATAAAATTTAAAATCACTGGTAAATTTGGGTGATAAACAGCTTTTATGTCGAGCGCCAAAAATGAAACCGTAACCTGATATTTTCGCGGTAAAAATTCTTGAAAGGTTTATTGGTTATAGCAACACGCCTAAATGAGTTTTAAAGACTTGTTATTCGAATTTCCGGTCGTCACGTTCTCGGTCAAAGTTTAAAATTGTGTCGATTGCGGCTATTCCAGGCAGCGTGATGCCGGAGCTGAGCTGGATCGTAATTAAGATGTAATTGTACAGGGGAAGCGCCAACTGTATTAGGAAAACTTTTGTTTCTCCGTTATTCTGCAAAAGTCGAGTGGAATTTTGTGCACTAGTTAGAACAGTTGGGCTCGAGGTTCGGAATTGAGTTTGCGAGCTCCCGGAAACGAAAGACTTCTGAAAGATAATCTTAGGAATTCACAGAAGATGCCGGAATATCCCGTACTTCACTATTAATAAAAATAAACTTTGTGCCAGCTGATAAAACATTAAAGAAGGTTGCTTTCAACTTCAGATTTCATTCCGATGGCACTTAAAAGTTTGCGATCAACGCACTTTTGTGTATTTTAATTCCAAGTTTGAGTGAGGCAATAACGAGTTATGAAGGGCTTCGCCTGTCATAGCGCATCCGAATCTTTATTAGACCTGGAGAAATTGTACTGAAATATTAGAATTTATCTCTGGACGTGATCTGATAAAAGCGGCTTATCCGTCCAATATCGAAGCGTCAAATTCATGGGACTGGATAATAATTTCTCAGCTTAATGCCACCAGAAGTAGTTACATATTTTCTGACATCAATAACGACGAAATGAATTTTTCCCTGATTTTACTTGCACTTCCAACGCACCACTCCTAGTTTCAAATTTCAGTCTTATATAACTAGTTGAGTCCAATTTAATTACTCCAAGTGTGATGATGTAATTTCAGAGTATTGAAACAAACTTTAAACTCCTATATATTTAGAAATCTTTTGAAGACGTTTACTGGATGAATTAGAAATGATCAAATTTAGGAAGTCTGTATTAAATTTAAATAAAATAAGCGCTTGCTACTATTTCAAACAAAAATTTAAACTTGGGAAAGTTTACTTAAAGCAACTTTTATAAAACGTAAAAATAGAAACTTTTCACTCTGTAAAACTTCTAAATGCACCGCAGTTTAAAACTTGATATAAATTTCTGAAACTGGTAAAAAAGATTCAAAGCAATCTCGTCGTTGAAATCCTTTACATTATTGTTTAATTCATCTTGCTTTTCACCAAACGAATAAGTGAACGAGTTTACTGTGTTACAAAACTCGAATCTAATAAAGAACTCAAAATTAATAATAGTAATTAATTGGTTGATTAAAACTAATAATAATAGTCTCAACATTTTTACGCAGACAAATTTTCCAGTTGGGTTATCGAAATTAAAAAATAAAAGATAAGGATTTATTAATCTGAAATTTAAAATCTGACACTTGTCTCGATTATTGCTCACATTAAGAAGCTAAATACACATTCTTGCGTGTACTTTTGAACACAAACAAAAACATGCTTTTTCTTTAGTTACTTTTGAATATTAAAAAAAGAATGAATATGTTTCCATAAGGATCACAAACGTCTATTCTCAACGGATCAGCATTGCTGGCATTTTCTTGACTTTTCTCAGTTTACATTGCAAATATTCAACTTGTGTTTATATTTTATTACATACAAAAAACTTTATAAAGTTTGCAATCCGGCTTAAATAAATTATTGTTTCATTTCTTTCCATTTAACATTTACTTTCAAACTGACACGTATTTGAAAAAATGCCACATGAATTTAATTTGGCGGAGAAGAAGCTAAGATATTTCATCCCTTGACTACAAACCATTTGGCTCTGCTGTAAATTGCGAAGGTGTATTCGTATTGTCGCCATTTCTATTACCCCCGATCATTTCGATCTTGTCTTGAGCATTGTCTGCTAATGCATGCATGTTGGCGGAAACGGCGAGTATTCTCGGCGCAAATCGCATCATATCATCAGACATTAATACTGCCAGTTCCGGTATGAGCCCCGTATCATAACGGTATCGCCGTACTCTATTCATTAGGGTTCACCACCGCCGCCACCGTTGCCGCCACCAGATCAATTCCGTGCGGACATGGTTAGGTGTGTTTAGTCAGTGCTGCGTGAGTCCACCGCACTCATTTGTTCGGACCTGCGGTTCCCCGGAGTGCTAAAGCACTTTCCAATATGTGGCCTCCGGAACGCGATTTGTTGCTTTCCGAGGTGCGCCGCGCCCCGATAAATAGAGGTGCTACCCTATTTCGTGAAATATCGTCGAGGGGAAATATTGACAACAAAAGGAAGGAAGCGACGCCTGCTGATGATTCTATTTTACAAAAATATTTTGAGCTGATTATTCCTTGAATGGAGTGACGCAAACCAAAACGCATCTTTTTGCACAGAATCACATAACGAAGGATTTCAAACTTGATAAACATAAATTAGATGTTTGGATGTGTAAGAGCAATACGAGTTTTCTCTTTTTTTTATCATAATATCACGTTCTGCAAACTTACATTTCCTACTAATGACTATGACATTGTTCCCGAAATGGCGATGACACTATTCAAAACTTTAACAGTTCATTAAGATGATTATAAAAGTGTTCTAATGGCGCACTTTTACAAACATTATGCAGCTCTATAAAAATTAAATTTGACCTTTTCTCCAAGAATAAAAGTCAATGACAATATAAAAATAGCAGACCTGCTAACAATTACTTAAAAAAATTCAAACGTCGAGGCTAATAATTGATCCACTAATCAAGTCAAAAATGGATTAATAAGACCACAATTTTGTGCACAAATGCAGGTTGCAATGTTAATTAAAAAACAAATAGTGAGCTTAAGGTAGGAATGGGATTTATTACTGTCAATTGTGGATCAGAGGTTTTAATTTTTAATTGCTATTTCATCTTATTAAAGTTACAACAAGGATTAAGCCACACAAAACACGAAGTATAGTAAAGTAAAAATTTCGTTTTATAGTCTTTACACTTATTTAAATTGTTCGTATTGTTTCGTAATTATTCGTAATTTTTTAGTTAACAAATTGTAAAATTCACATGGTATTTTTTGATAAAATTTCACATTGGTTATGGACACTTTTCAAAAAATTATGTTGCAGTTCAATGTACTGTTTCTTCTTATCCATGTAAGATTATTTATTGTGCAAACACTATCTGCTTATGTCTACATGTAACATTTTTATTGAAAACTGTGTTTTATCATTCCTTGTCTGATGTTGAAGGCGAATGACGTACATACATACATAGTTTGTGGTTGAACACCTGTAAGCCTTCACAAGATGTAACATTAGATTTAGAGCGTCAAACATGACAAGATACTGCAGCTTACTAATCTAACTATCATACAACAATGTGTAATATTCTGTATAAAAGCCGAAAAAGTGTAAACAGTTTCTCCAAACTCAAATGCGAAAGGTCAAGTCCATGTCAAGTCTGACATAGAAATACTCGTAATTAAAAAGCCCGCTTGTCGCTATTAATTTAAAGATGACTATCAGGTTCTAAATAAAGAGAAAAAATTGCCGGCCTGTTGGGTATGTTGTAAACGTCGTTTATTATTATTTTATCAATTTGATTATCAAATATAAACAACGATGTGTACTTCCACAATTGTGGGCACAATTTTTTCCGAAATGTTTAATAAATTCTATTATCCTCCGGTTCAGACAACTTCTTTGATTAAGTTCAAACATGTGTTCGAGCCCGGGTAGCTGTCAAAAGTTGTTCCTTTATTGGATTAATATCTTAGCTCGTGGGTCGATATCACAAGGAAAGTATATACCTAGTAAACGCATGAGGCCATTCACACCTTAATTTAATCACTGACTTTGAGATCAATCTTAAGTGTTACGGCCATAATTAATATTCGGAACTTTGAAGTGACACTCGAGATGAGACTCTTGGTAATGGAATTTGGCAACTTCAAGGATTGACCAAGACAATGCCAGTATTTTCGCAATTCGTCTCAATTTTTCACTCTGGTTGTTCCAGATTTACCTGCAGAAAGAAGCATTAGCCAACTAGAAGTGGTGGGATCGAAGACTGTCAGCTTGGAAGCTGAGAGTTTGGCAGGATGCCAAGTTCAAGCTCTCGTCCTGGCCAATAACCGCTTGCAACATGTGGCGGATCGAGCATTTAGGTGAGTACCTTGTATTGTTACTGAATACTTAACAGCTGCTCATTTCTCGCGAATCGATGCTCAACACCAAACACTTTGTTATCTCGCCTATCTTAACCGAAAGGTCAAGACAATTACGATTATGTCAAAAGCACCTGATTAATCGCAGTCTCACAAGAGATAATCACGATGAATGGCTCTTTCTAGATAGATATTTATTATTTAGTGGCGCAGAAATACGAGATGATCTCCGGATGCGATAAACTTTATATCCGTTTTCTATTATTAAAAACCAGCCAAGAGAGTGATTAAATAAATGGAAAAGTAAAAATATGACATTTCAATTGTATGWGGGCAACATCGGTCTTGGTACATTTCCCTATGGTACACTATATCAATTCTGGTGTTTTATAGAAACAATTAGACATTGGGTAAAAATCGGTATTCTGTGCACTTGCTCGCAAGATACATAGTTATAATGGTCTGAGTACGTTTCTTGCGCGTGTCTAAAAGGATGGTATTACACCATGTTCATTGTTATTCAAAGCGAATCGTCCATCTGACAATCGAAAAAGTTGGCATGCTGTGACTACCGGTATTTTTTTGCATAATTTATTTTATCGGTAGGAGATTTATGGATCAACTCTGCTTTAATATGAAACTATCTATGATTCGACGTTGTTCATGTAATGATGAATGACAGCAGTTTAGATAGTCGGGCTTAACAGCATCAGTTCGACTCCAAGCATAAAACTGTTTCATACCTATTAAATTTTCTCGCATAATAAAACAGACGGAAAGTCTTATAAAATTCTTGTTACGGGGATTAGGTTATTACTATGTGGTTGGAATTACGCCAGTATAACAATGTAACTAAAATTAGTTTTAGTGTTAAAGTGATTTATTGCTGCATTTAAGCATCACAATTTGAAGCCTGTTACCTGTTAGGAGTGTTAAAAAGAATCAAACTGTGGAACAGTTGTTTCATGGATAAAGGCAAATCAAAATTTGTTGATTGTCAAAATTTGAGCTACTTTGAATTCTTATGGAAACTTTTCTTAACCGAACTTGGACTGGATGTCAAAATCTTGACGGTCTACTGTTAGATAAAAACACGTTAATTGCAAACCTAAATAGATGCAATGAGAAGAAAATGTAGCAGACTAATAAACATACAGGGTGTTTCAGAACTCGAGTTCCAGAAAAAAATGGGATATAACGTTAAGATACCAGGGACATAGAAAAAATGTAAAAAAATGCTGTCTATAAAAATTTCGAAATTACTTTAAATTTTGCATTTTGACTCTATTTATTTCTGTTGAATTTTCCATGTTTTTTTGCTGCAGATGCTGCAGACTTCATCTTGACAAACCGAGACTAATATGCATATTAGTTACGTTGCTAATAGCAACTGTCCTATTAGTCACGGGCTGTAATGAGCTTTCTGTCATTTAATTTAATTTTTAGTTTAAGTAAATTTTTTGTGGTAGTCGTAGAAAAAGTATAGTATGTAACATATAATAATAATATGTAATATATATATAATATATATATATAATAGATCAATAATACATATTCCGATACGAACTCGATTACAAATTTTGAAAAATTGAATAATCTTCTCTAGTTT